GTATCGAGACCCGGTTTCTAGCGTTGTAAGTCCGTAGACATACCACTGTGCCACTGGAGGCTCTAGCCTATGTAAATCAATTTTATTATTACTTAAGATCCTCTAAAGTTGCTATGAACATCTTTAATTTTATCTATTAAACAATTCAAACTTTCGTTTAACAGGATGAATGAGTGTTTTATAACAGCTTTAACTGTTTTAACTGAACTAATATTGAATCTAAATTTAACTGGATTTTCTTTTGCAGTTTGGGGTTGCATATAAATATATATAATAGTTTTAAATACGTAAAAGGTTTAAATGTGAGTTTCTGTAAAGGTTTATTAGCATTAGCTATAACCTGTTCAGACTAATGTGTTTGTAGTGCGAAACGTGTTATTATAATTCTGTTATACAATTCCAGTATTTTTCCTCTTACTAGTAAAACCAAGCTTACATTTTAATTTATCTGTCGATGTTATAACAAATCTGTCCTGTAATTCTTGAACTCTACTTTTAAATAATGCATGTTTAAAGACTACTTGATAATATATATATATGTATATATTACCCTGGCTGCTAAGGAAAAATCCTAGCAATCACGAAATAGGCTTAGAATTCCTAACCCTAAGAATTGCTCTGTACCTCATGTTGAGTAACATTTCTCTGTCATTATTTCATGGTAAAATCGTAGCGAGTGAGAGAAACACTCAACCCTGACTAAGATATTTCTTTAAGTAACCGTCAGGGATAAACTAAACTCTACAGCATTTAAAATGTGTACTTGTGGGCTTTTGAAAGCAGTTAGTATAAAGCTTAGGAGGAGAGCGCGACGAATAATCCATTTGTAATACACGATTAGCAATAAATGATCAATATCCACAAAAGAAGTTACACCTATTTGTAAAACACAAACATAGCACTGTATGTGCAGAACATACCGTGTTTTATTTTTTCAAACAATACGTTTCATGTATAGAACATATAGTTTTTGTTTTTACAAAAACATATCTTCTGCAGATAAAATAATGTATCGTGAGAAAAATTATTTTGAAATCTGACTGAAATTATAGAGCACTAAGACACGTGATATACATATCATATATAGTAGATCATGTAAAACAAGAGATGTTGTCGTACTTCAAGAAACAAAAAAGAGTAGAATGGCGAATATTGTTCGAATACTAAAGTTAATAATACGCTAATCTGTCTAGAAATTCGTAAAATGTGACTTAAATAGAAAGCATTTGTAAGAATGTTAATATTTAATCCAGAAAATAATAATATAGGGATTCATGTTTAAATAATGTTTCTATCATGATGAGAATGTTTAGCACAAATAAAAAGATCAACAATCTACTTACAAACATAAATCAAAAACTTAATAAGATGCTTTATATTTTTGTTATGAAAAGTTGTAAAATTAGGTAATGCAATATATGTGATGTTAATTAATGAATCAACCAATAGATTTAAAGCAGTAAACAATTCGCTCAAAGGAATTGTTTTTTATATATTGTTTTAAAATCAGAAATGTAGACTGAAACAATGTTTTTATTTAAGGTTTACAGATCATACAGTTTTACTTACGATGTATGTGTATGATACAGACCGTTTGAGGTTTATAGATCATACAGTTTAACTTAGGATGTATGTGTATGATACAGACCGTTTAATGTTTATAGATTATACAGTTTAACTTAGGATGTATGTGTATGATACAGACCGTTTAAGGTTTATAGATTATACAGTTTTACTTAGGATGTATGTGTATGATACAGACCGTTTGAGGTTTATAGATCATACAGTTTAACTTACGATGTATGTGTATGATACAGACCGTTTAATGTTTATAGATCATACAGTTTTACTTAGGATGTATTTGTATAATACAGACCGTATACTCCCTGAATAATAGTTTGAATATTTTGAAAGTGTTATTAAATAAAAAGTGTGTACATGAAAAAAAATGACGAAAAATTGAAACAGGGTTTGCTCTTTGAAAACAAACATTATTGGAGCAATTGTCAGCCCCCAGTGGCACAGCGGTATGTCTGCGCACTTACAACGCTAGAAACCGGGTTGAGATACCCGTGGTGGGCAGAGCACAGATAGCCCATTGTGTAGCTTTGTGCTTAATTACAAACAAACAAATATATCCTCAAAAAGTCTTCATTAACAACTTCTTACGAGAATGCTTTATTCTTATTATATGCTATCTCCAGCGTTTCTTTACTTTTATTTTATCTGCGGATCTAGCCCACAATGACTCAATGGTAAGTTTGATGACTTATGAAATTAAAATCGGTTTTAAAAACCCGTGATGAGCACAGCACAAATAGCCTATTGTGTGTTTTGTGCTAAACAAACTACGATTTAACCTGACGCAGTCCTCTATCAATAACTTTCTCTCCTAATATGTTTTTAACTGATATTTCTCTAGCAATCTTTTAAATTGGTCTTTTCATTTATGAACTAATTTGCTTTATTGATATCATTTACTTCCAAAGTTTGTAAATATGATATAGGTATAGAATTGTTTAGTGTCTATAATTTGTTTTTATTATAATCTCCCAAGAAAAGTTAATTTACCGCCTTAACGAAAGTTGAAGCGCTTGTTTCTGATTATTAATCAGTAGTTTCCTTATTTTTTATTTTGATGTTTTTTAAGAGTTTTTCTAGGTTTTTCTCCTTCCCTTTTAGACGTACTCCGGTTGGTCAGCGGTAAGTTTGTGGACTTACAAAGCTAAAATTCGAGGTTTGATTCCACGCAGTGGTCGACACGCAAGTAGTCCATGGTGTAGATTTGCGATAGAACAAGAACAACCATCTGGGGAGGATCTAGAAGTGTTGGTTGTTCAATGAGTATCTAAACTTTAGATGTGCATACCCATAAAAATAGCAAAACACATACGAAACTGTAACAACAACCCGCCGAACAGCCAACACCTTAAGATTCTTTTCAGAGTAACAAATGATAGAAATCCACTTACTCTTGAAACCATTATTGTAATATACATGCAAATACTCTTTGGTTAAGATACTCTATCAAAATAATATTGTGTTATATCTTTTTTCAACACATTATCCAAAATTTGTAAAATTATATTTGTTAATATCCTTTAATTACGAATTTGCTTTGTTGTTACTCAGCTCTAGTAGTTCGTTTTTTCACCAAGAAGTATCTTCCTGAGTACTCCCACTCTCCCAGTACTTGCTATGAAAGAAATGTGAGCCTGAATGACAAAATGCTTCCAGTGAGAGTATTGGACACTTCTGGCAAGGTAAGAAAAACAATGGGTACTTATGGCTATGAAACGCAAAAGGTAAATGAAACTTCTGGCGAGGAAAAACGAAGGGTGAAGTGTAATAGATGCTTCTGGTAATGTAAGACAATAGTAGACACTTTTGGGAAAGAAAGACAAAAGATAAAAAAAAAGTCTGGAAAGGATGAGATTTATTCATTAATGCTGATTAAGGAGGGTAACTTTTGAACATTCCTGATAGTGAACTTAGTCCTAAAAGCACCATGTTATTACATATTCATATTCTGGGAACAGAGGATTAATATAGCAAGATCGAAACTGTAAACAGTATATAAATTAGTAATCACTAATAAGTCACAGAAAGCTTATCATAGTAGTATTGTTATACATTGTTTCTGGCCTAATAAGAATTTCCAATGATAAGAGCGTATAATAACATTTCAAATATACTTTCATCTACAGGACGTTGCTTTCTCACCAATCCTTTCCATATAATACGTACCCTATCTTGTTTGTTTGTTTTGAATTTCGCGCAAAGCTACACGAGAGCTATCTGCGCTAGCCGTCCCTAATTTAGCAACTCTTGGGCTACTCTTTTATCAACGAAAGGGCGAGCACGTTTGGTGTGACGGGGATTCGAACCCGCGACCCTCAGATTGCGAGTCGAGCGCCCTATCCACCTGGCCATGCCGGACCTACCCATCTAGCCCGGAACGAATATTACCGAATCCATAGATTGAGTCGATCTACATAATGGGAATGTTAGAAAACGAGCATGCTTCAATGGAATCTTGTGGGCTTAGGTTATTTTTTAGAACACTATAAGGTCAATGGAATAAGATATGGACAGGATGAGATATGGCAGCACAGTGCTTCCAACCAAGCCTTTTGCTCAATAATATAGTTAGGTTATAGCATTCATTGAAACGATATTTATATCATTCGATTGTGGTAAATCACGTCTTAAATCGCTTAAATTTACGAAAGTTGACAGTTAGCTGTTAATAATCATGCTATTAGATCATAATAAGAAAACAAATAATTATTATTTTTGTAATAGAGTACAGGGCCAGCAAGAATTAAAATGCGATGAAAATTATTATCACCCTAATTTATTTTCGATTTCTTTTTTCTGATATTCATTGTTCATCGTATTTTTAGCCGCGGCATAGCGGCTCATAGAAGGGGTCTGAGTTATTTTTTTTTCTATTACAAACTTTTAGCTCATAGCGCCGTCATCTTTTAATCGATTTTAGACCTAATTACAGTTTTGAACTCAGAAGGTCAAACCCTTGAGATTGATGTATTTGACCACGTCCAAGATGGCTAAATTTACTTTAATCCTGCCTAAAATAGTTTCAATTTGAGGGTAGGCTGGTAGAGATCGAAATGTAATAAAATTGAAACGCTTATATGCTCGCCCCACACTTAGCATTGCTGGAGCAAACACACAAAGAAAATGCCTCATAGATTAATTTACACTATTCCTGCCTAAAAGAGTTTAAAGTGCCGCGGCTATTGAGGTTTTCCTCTTGTTTATATTGAATTTTTTGTTCTTTTCCGAACATTTTACCTTTCTATACTGTTCTTGTCTCGCAATAAGAAGTTTTTTTTTTCAATCTGCAGTTTTCTTCATTTGATACAAACAGTTCTTGTTTTCTTCCGGTTTTTATCATTCCACCTGTTTCAAAGTCAGAGCTCAGCTATGCAGTTGGTGCATGTTCATCAGTTAATGCGTGTTTCTGTGCTTTCCACGAGCATTTAGACCATTCTTCCTGTTCCTATACAAAACAAAAGAAAGATAATATTCTCAGTCTTACATAGAAAATGTCAATATATCCACGAAACGCGTACAGAACCAATACATTGAATTATGTATGCCATTTAATTCCGAAATTCAGCTAAAATAATTATTTTTGTGTATTGTCGTTTAATATATTTGTACTATAATTTGTAATCAAATGGAAACATAAATGTTTCGTCCTATTCTAATATAGCATCTCCTCAGAAAATACATAAACATCCAGCTGTGACAATATTGTCAAAGTCTGATGACTATAATTATTCTTACAATCATTTCAATCATTTTATTTTGAAAACCTGTTAAACACGTTATTGAGGACCAGCTTCATATTAATAACAACTTAACAGTTATTACTGTTTCCTAATGAACAGTTTATAAAATCTCGTTTTAATCTCGAAGTATATCTATATTTTTCCAGAAAGTTAGATATCGGATAATGGATGTGTAACGTCGTCGGTAAACATAGAATTATATTTATTGGTAAGCCTAATGAATCGTATGATGAAACTGCAGTAATTATTTTTTCTCATCAGGAGTCTTTTACCTCTCTGAAAGCCAGAGGAACCTTAGACGGGGCTCACGGCTATGTTGTTGTCTATTCTGTAACTGACAAGCGCAGTTTCTTCAAAGCAAGGGATCTATTAAAACTTCTGAACGATGATTTTGGTAATGATGGGCGAACTCCGATAGCAATAATTGGAAATAAAGATGACTTAGGGCATCTCAGGTAAATAAAATAGAACTGTACAAATACAACTACTAAATATTGAGATAGTTTGTTTACATGCCTTTGCCACTATGTAACTTTACTGATTTAAATACAACTACAGAAATTTTCGATTTATTTTCAAAACAAAGAAGCGATTAGTTATGGCGATTCAGATAGTTTGACAGGACTTCTAAAGTATAATGCGTTGTTTTGTAATGAATAAAATATATATTTTCATAATTATATAATAGTTCAACGAAAAATACCTGAATATAAATACTTTTCTTTTAGCATACTTCTTTTTGAGAAAAGCCTTTGGAAATGTGCCAAAAATATATTTCAGTGAGGTTAAAAATAATCTCAACTAAATCATTGAATCTTAGGAGGTATCCCCCACTTGCGAAACACGCACCCAGAGAGCGATACACGCGTGTAGACCTCAGGCAATAGGGGAAGAGTAAAGAGACAATGATGTCATCAGAGAAGGTGGATTGCTAGGCCGCCATGACAAGCAGACATGATGTAATAGTTCCACGAAGTGAAACTATAAGGCACAGCTATCTTAGGGAGGAGTGATATCTTAATTCAATACCAGAAAGCCTATTGCTATAGGCGGGTTGACTTAGTAAGGTTTATGAGCACATATATAAGCATTCTTTTCTTATGTCAAAATTATGTGGAGGCAGTCCTAATGGATCAAAATATTTTTCTTTCTCATCTCGACCAATGTAAATACAGACCCAGTTGCTATCAGATTTATGACATGGATACAGATTGACGATGTACAGTTCTTTTTCTGTATGATCAGGTAGCTTATCACTGACAAACCCACCTCCAAACTTCTTTCACATGCACATATCTTGTGAAAGTATCGAATAAATTTCTAAAGTGTTCATAGCTTCTTTCAGACAATGTTTCATAGGACACCTGCTGTTTCACTTTCAAAAGTCAATGATACATCTAATCTAACATAAGTATTATCCAATAGTTGAATGAGGTTAATTCATTTTGCTACAACTAAGTATAATAAATTAATGACTTACTCTTTATCCATCCATTTTCTATTAAAATTTCATAAAACATTGAAACTGTCTAAACGCTATTATAAGTATCACACAAACACATCACTGACGTCAGGCTAGCAAATGTTTGCCTGTTATGAAATACAAACCTCGTCACTCGTAGAAAGAGGAAAAGAAGATATAGAAAGAAGAGAAAGGTCATTGATCAACATATGACAAATGAGAAAAGGTCACTACCGAGTTGACTAAGTCTATTTTGCATCAAATGAAAGTCAATTATAATACATTGTGACTATCTGTGTTTTACATTATACTTAATATTGAAAATAAATGATTCAAACTCTACATAATCAAATATTTCCTACATAAATTTAATATTCACCATACTTAAACTAGTTTTGTATGTCACTGTATTTAAAAGTAAGTAAGTAATCAACATGTGACATGTATGAGATTTCACTATACAATATAACGAATTATATATGCATGTACTCAAATGGTGATAGAGTTAGATGTTTCTGATTAGTTTTAATAAGCTTGGTTACAAATTCAGACATGTCTTAATTTCATTACTTTTCTACAACAAACAGTCAAGTAAATACCCTGTCCCTTTCATCACGAATAATCAGACTGATGCATTTATACTACATGAAAAAAAGAATGATGAACAAGCTTTTAATTGTAAGTATATTTCTTTGTGTATTTGGTGCATTAATGTTTATTTTCAGTCATATTCATTATATTAATAAATAATGTTGCTGTGATTTAATAATTATATATTATTTTATATTTTAGTCTATTATGAAGAAAAGAAATGCTACTGACATTAATGAAATGGTGAAAAAGATATAATCCATCAGTGAAAAAGTAAAACATAAAATACGACAGTTAGGTTCCTCTACTGTTATACATGTGAATAAGTACTTGATTCATCTCATGCCTATCCTATTGGAAATGACCATTACATCATTCTATCAACTTACGAGAAAAATTTGAATATTCATATTCAACAGTTCAAGGACTTTCGAAAAGGAAAACAATGTCCAAACAAGGAATATATCACTTTTCGTGAACAGTGGATCTCAAACATTAATGTGGCTGTACAGAGAAAAACTAAACAAGATTCTTTTTCTATAAGGACGGATCGTGTAATTCGTGTTGCATGTGTTAATAATATCTCCTCTGTATTGTTTAAATATCGATTTTATTGTCATGGTATTGATAAGATATCTGATAAGATTCTCTTTGTTTTATCAAATTCAAAATGGCAGAATTTATGTGCACAGATTTCTGATTTCGATACTTACTTAAACACTATAGTTCATAATGAAAAGTAATTGAATAATCAGATTAAATCAAATCTTATAAATAAGATACACTGAACAAGTGTACCCTATTTTACAAGTAGTGAAGAAAAGACAGTGTGAAATCGACGATATTCGTTAAACTCATAATTCTTGTAATATGTTAAATCATACTGAATCTGTATGGCTGATATTTGAGATAAGCATTAAGAAGAGGGTATAAATTTATTTTTCAATCTGTATTTAATCAAAGAGTAACACAGTTAAATTTATCAGGTTCTATCAATGAAACTTTCTGAGTTACTGTAGAGTTTGTTTGTTTGTTTTTGAATTTCGCGCAAAGCTACACGAGGGCTA